TGTAAAATATCGAATGATTCAGCTTTAATTAAAAATAATAAAATTTTTAATTAATTATAAAAACTTTTATCAATCATTGCTGTTTTAATTAGTGCGATCAATAAATTTTGTAAATCCTACGAATCCTGTATATTGCTATTGTTAAAACAATAGCAATATGCAGGATTCATAGGATTTACAAAATTCATTGATCGCACTAATTCGAAAACAGATAAACCATAAAATATTTACCTCTGATTATTTAACAAAACAGATCCTAAATCCAAGCTCAATTTTCTCATAAAAGAATTTGTTTGTTCTATATCTCTGTTTTTCTCAACCCGCCAATATGTATCACGTACTTGCTCCATTAATTCATTTACGATTATACGTCTATTTTTTGCAGCTTTTCAGCCTCTGATTTTTCTGGTACTTCAATTTCAACCAATTCTCGACTCTCATATATTTCAAATCCATTATCCTCAAAAATTCGTTGAAATTTTCTCCAAGAATCAATGGTTAGTTTATTGGTACCATAAATGTGGTCATGAAAAATATGCCGGCAAGGCAGCAAGTAACGACAGAAGAACAAGCACTGACAGTCTAATGATATTAAACCTGGAGGCCCTTTACTTTTTTCCAATTTTTTTGCTACAACAAAAATTTCATCAACAACCATTTTTTGGATAGGATAGGGAAATTTATAGACCTCATTAAGAATTTCATGATCAATGCCAAATGTTGATATTCTTTTTGTACAGAATTCAAAGACTACATACTCAGCATCAGACTATTTTTTTGCATCTACTGCTACAATATTATGACAGGTGCCAATTAAACCATAGTGAAGAGAGGTTGTATATTTTAGCTCACTATGATACGATTTTATAGGGTTGGTGGATGTTACTTGCATAAGGAGAAAGGAATGTTGGCGGGCCCAAAGAGCCCATTGGTAGGTGATTTTTTTGTAATTTCGAACTATGTATCTTTGAATTGTAGGAATAGAACATTTGTCAGCAGCCTGTTGAACAATCTCCTTGCACCTGATTTTTGTTTATTTGTTTATGCATTGCCCTAATCATTTTGTTTCTAGTTTTTACTTCATACACCTTACTCATCCAGGTTTGCATAACATGGACAGTACAAAAGATAGTGCTATACTCCTGCTTATCCACTTGAAGGCTCGAGAAAGCTAACATAATAGCATTGCTCTCTATACTACTTTGATCAATAAGAAAATATCGAGATTTCCAGTTATACCCTAACCTTTTTATTATTTTTAATGCTTTTGTGACAGTGCTGCTATCTTCTTTGCTTACAAAAAAGTATGTACCGATGTTCCAGTAACCATGATCATCGCAGATGTATAATGAAAACAGACACCAATCATGCCTGTTCGTTTTATGCGTAGAATCAAGAAGAGTCAGCCATCCAAACTGTTGAAGTTTCTCCAATTGATTTTTATGAGCAAAAACGAAACCCCGAGTATGCTGGTGATGAACTTCATAGTACTCAACTTGGTACTCCTGATTCTTTAAAAAAAAAACTGACTCCCGAACATCCACTATCAATTGCGAATTATCGATAAGGGGCATTCTGAGACCCTCAAGCTTTGTATTTTATATTGGCAACCTCTTTACATCTTAACTCCTTTATACTTTCACCAAGCCCTAAATTCACCATGGCATATTCTTTAATACAGTCGGGGATATTTCTATATTTGGATAGTGATGATTACACCATTTATGGTATAGAATCACCGATCAGATGATTCTAGAATCTCCAATAATGAAAATAGCATAATCGAAATAGCACACAAAATCATTATCAAAAAAAATATATATTACATAACCTCGAAAAATTAGTCAGAATT